CAACCCCATACCATATTGTATCTCCTTCGTTGTTTAGTCATTTTCGGAAATTTTTGCACAAAAGGAACGATTTAATCACAATCTATTGGATTTCAAAATTTTCTGGGGGAAAAATTTTCAAACTTCTCGTTACCAACTTCATACTATACTATACCACCCTGGTATGAAGTGGTATTTTTCATACCATATGGTATGTTGTTATTTAATACCATATGGTATTGACAGGTATTAAATAACAACATATGGTATTGACCGGTATTTTTCATAACATATGGTATGCTGTTATTTAATACCATTCAATACCATATGGTATAGACTGGTAATAACTCGCAAATTTTTTTTGTTCCAAAAAATATCAAAGTGGATATCATTTTGAAGAGCACAATTAATCTGATCTAACTGTGCAAAAAAATTAAATTCCGAGTTAAAACGAGTGAGAAATCGTCCGTTAAAGATTAAGGGAAAGAAAATTAATGATTTTTCCAGGAGAGAGAAGGAGACGCTGATGTGGCAGATTCTTATTGGGTTATGCATGGGGTTACTCACCACAAGGTTACTCACCGGATCTGCTCCCAGTACAAGGAGTCCAAGTTACTCTTGATGGAGCCAGCAAGCTGTCGAGCTGCCACCTGAACGAGCACGAATGTATCAATTCTTTGTGAAAGAGAATTATCACAAAAAGGTTGGAAAATTCCCTTATACATTAATTTGGCAAAATCATACCGACCAAAATATGCACTTTCATATGGTTAGTACACCAGAAGAAAATTACTCATGATGCCTCGAGGAAAAGAGGATGGGCACTTCCTAGTAGATGTGAGTTGTGTGTTGCGAGTGAATTAGAGATTACAAGTCATATTTTCCTTATATGTGGATTTGGCAAGTGTGGACTGTGGAGTACCATTTCTTGCTTTTTATGTGGGTAATGTCCCATAGGATATCATAGAGACAATACAAGCATGGCCTCGCATCAAACCGAACAACTCGAAGGAGTGGTACACAAGGTCTTTATTGCACGGTCGATGCTGGTGTGTCTGGAAGGAAAGAAATTTGAGGATCTTTGAAGGAAAATCTACTACAACTTATGGGGTGTCCTACATGATTGGTAGTCAGGTTGCGAGATGGTTGATAGTGGTGATTAACATCAAGATTGCGCCCCTATAGAGAATGAATTAGTCTATGGAGATTCCAAGCATTGATCCAACAAGTTACATTTCCATTCTCATGGCTCAGGTATTCACAATTATTATGGTATGATGATGTTATCACCCTACTGTGGAAAGGAAGAGGCTAGGATAGGATTATTCGGACTAGCTCGATCTCATACAACAACTCCAAAATGTGATTGAAAATCCTAGACTTGATTTCACCTCATTCGTCTCTTAATTTAGATAAGACAAGACTAGGTTAGTACATAACAAGATGTGTTGACCAGTATTTATTCCACGACATTCATATCTTATATGGGTTTCTGTATCTTCTACTTCAGTTTCAGATAGAGGTGGGAAATGGTGAGATTTTGGTTAAGCGCACCGAATGACACGGTTAACTGCAAACGCATAAGGGTAAAATCACCAACCACGACCGCACTATAAATGGTTAGCAGTTAATCACTAACCAGAAATCATTGTTAGTAGTTAGTTGCTGTTAGCCGCAATACTCGCTATGCTATGCTCTGCAGATCGTGTTCTTCTAGATCAAGTCACCGACGTAGAGATTCGAGAAACAAGCTCAGCGACATCGGGATTCAGGAAAAAGTTTGTTAGAGGAAAATCAATATTCCTTAGAGATCAAGAAGTATGCGGATCAAGTTAAAATCAAATCAAATCAATCAATCTATCTTGATTGGTTGATTACTCAATCATAGCTCAAAATTCTTCAATCAAGCACTGCCAAATACAAAAGAGTGAGTTATCTACAACTCATACCCATATTACCTTTGGAGACTATAAAAGGAGCTGCATATTCACAACTCAAAGCAACTTTGTGAGAGAGCGGTAAAGGGCTTCTAAACAAAGGGTTTTAGCAAAGAGGAAGAGGTTTTTTGCTAGCGGCTGATACAAATTCTGGGTTTTGGGAATTTGGGTTGTTTTCTCTTCATTCTACTTTGATTTCTCGCATTTTCTTTTGCATTTTGAGTTGTTAATTGTACTTGTAAGTTAGATCATCCTGAAATTAGTAAATAGAGTATAGGGGTGGATGTAGCCCATTGCACCGGGGTGAATCACTTTAAAAATATCGTGTGTTCCTTCAATTTCCTTAACTTCTTTCCCTACTTTGATTTCCCCTGTTTTGACTCTCTGTTTCTTCAACTTGAGGAGACTGTCTGAGTCTTGATCGAAGCAAGAAGAAGAAGACCAAAATTGGGCTTGCAACCCACGTTGGGCCTATTTGTAAAGATGGATGAAGCTGGAGTCAGGCCCAAGGCTTTCTAACTTGTTACGCTCAAAGTGGGCTTCCATTTGTCAAGCCCTCCGTAATAAAACATTTCTCCAACTTAAATCTTTTCATCTTCTCTAAACCTAAATCCTAGTCTTCTATTTCAATTGGTATTAGAGCCAATCCCTTGATTGAGCTACATACTGCCAAGGGAATCGATCATGGGATCCTCTGTCTTTGGTCATGCATCATACAATCACCCACCCTTGTTAACAAGAACCAATTATACCTCCTAGAAGCGACGAATGGAAACCTTTCTCTGGGGAGTCGATGAAGCTCGCTCGACAGTGGTCAGTGACGGTCCTATCAACATGGATTTTTCCAAGAGATTCACCTGAATGATGCCCAGAAAAGTGCGCACAACTAAATAAAAGAGCGATGCACATCCTCCATTTTGCTATAGCGGTGACGGAGGCTGACAAGATCGATCACTGCGACACAGCTCATGAGATATGGACTTCGCTTGAGAAGACGTACGAGGGAACTTCAAACATCAACGAGACACGGATCGATCTCTTGATGCACGAATACGAAACATTCGTCATGAATCCAGGTGAGGACATTTAGTCCATGTATTCTCGATTTACTATCATCCTAAACAAATTAAAGGGTCTAGGTAAAACTTTCGTGTCTAAAGATATAAATCGAAAGATACTTTGTTCATTGCCTAAGGAACAGTTACCTAAAAGAACTGCAGTAGAAGAGGCTCAGAATCTAAATACCTTACCAGTTGATGAATTAATTGGTTCATTATTAAGCCATGAGCACTCGTAAGGCAAGTTCATGGTGAAGATAAGAGGTACACTACTCTGGCTTTTCGAAGTGGGTTCTATAATGATTACTCTAAAGAATAAAGATGATTCGCCTCTTGTTCTTGATAAGGAAATTGTTGGAGCAAAATCAATATTGCTTGGAGATCAAGAAGCTTGCGGATCAAGTTAAAAGCAAATCAATCTATCTGGATTGATTGATTACTCAATCATAGCTCAAATTTCTTCAATCAAGCACTGCCAAATACGGAAGAGTGATTTGTCTACAACTCATACCCAGAACACCTTCGACGACTATAAAAGGAGCTGTATATTCATTACTCAAAGCAACTTTGTGAGAGAGCGGTAAATGGCTTCTAAACAAAGGGTTTTAGCGAAGAGGAAGAGGTTCTTTGCTAGTGGCTGATACAAATTCTGGGTTTTGGAATTTGGGTTGTTTTCTCATTATTCTGTTTTGATTTCTCACATTTTCTTTTGCATTTTGAGTTGTTAATTGTACTTGTAAGTTAGATCATCCAGAAATTAATAAATAGAGTTGTAGGGGTGGACGTAGCCCATTGCACCGTGGTGAAACACGTTAAAAATATCGTGTGTTCTTTCAATTTCCGCAACTTCTTTCCCTACTCTGATTTCCTCTGTTTTGACTTTCTGTTTCTTCAACTTGAGGAGACTGTCTCAGTCTTGATCGGAGCAAGAAGAAGAAGACCAAAATTGGTCTTGCAAACCACGTTGGGCCTATTTGTAAAGATGGCTGAAGTTGGAGTCAGCCACAAGGCCTTCTAACTTGCTACGATCAAAGTGGGATTCCATTTGTCAAGCCCACTGTAATAAAACGTTTTGCTAACTCGAGAAGATGAATGTTTTAATCGTCTCGTTTCGTTCATTCACTCATTTCTACAAATTCATCCTTTTAATTTTCTCTAAACCTAAATCCTAATATTCGATTTCAAAGATCGTTGGCGTCGTGCTGTGCTTTGTTGAGATTCCATAACAAGCTCATCAACGTCGTGCTCTACTTCGTTAAATCGCTGAACACATTTGACATTCGATAACCTATCTCCATGACTCCACTCTCAACTAGGCTGCAAAAACAAACAAATACAGATGGATAGAAATTGGGCTTTGAGCTGTACTTGGGCCTGGAGCTAGTAGAAGTTGGGTTTTGATATGGTGTGCGGTTAATAATGCGGTTATGTTGTTTATTTGGAGCGGTTGGCGGTTAGTCTACAAACCACAAAATGCACAATTATGCTAACTACGATCGAATAAACCCCTTTTCAAATTTGATAAGTTATATTCATCAAGTGATAATAAGGCGTGTGATATTTTGATTACTAAGAAAACCGTACATTAATTGCTTCAAAGAGGCATACATAGTCAAGTTCATTACCTCAATTGATATTTGGTGATGTAGGGATTTAGCTCTCCCCTAATCTCTCTAACCTCGTCGCAGAAGTGTTGCCAATCTTTGTATAAATAAATGATTGCCAGATCGTACGACTAATGAATTTTTTTATGGTGTGCCACATGAGTTATCTATCCAGATTATTCAAAATAAGCAAGTACATATATCAAATTAGTTTCTTATTGCAACAATTTCACAAACAAATTAATATCCGCCCATGTCACCATTTTCTTTACTCTTCTTTCATGGCAAACAATCATATCAAAAGTACTCTAACTAGGTATCAATTTGTGGCAAGAATAAGGTTAACTCGAGGAAGCTAACTTGATTTGAACAATTCATCAATTATCGCGAAAAGAAAAGAAAAAAAGACGAAATTATGTACACTAAAGACCGTCATTGAACGGAACCCCAGTGGACGGCAACCACGATCGGCCGGCGTAGAGCCCATTAACGGTAAAATGCTTCGCCGTGACAACATCGGGAATAGCATGAAATCCTTTCCAATTGACCCTAGAAGTCAACGACGATCCAGGCCCAAAATTCTTGTACTCACCGAAATACAAAGTGTTGAGCCCAAAGTCCGTCCCGCCCCATTTGGACCAGCCCGCTGGGTTTACAATCCGGTCCAAGTAAGACTTCATTATGACGGACCGCGAGTACTTCATCCACGGCCTGCCCAAGTAAGTCTCGAACTGACCGGGGGCCGCCATCTTCAGCTCCGGCGACGGCAGGATCTTGGAGTTGTGGATGGAAATCCCGGTGTGCTCGAAGGCGTTGAGCCTGCCCTGCGCGGTGATGATGTTGGTCTGGCCCAAGATCGGCTTGCGGACGAAGATCAGGCATTTTTGGAAGACGGCGGCGGCGTTGCCGAAGATGAAGTCGACGGTCCCGGACACGTGGCACTCCCGGAAGAATTGGCGCTGGGTTTGGACGAAGACGGTGTCCTGGTAGCCTTGGAAGCTGCATTGGTAGAAGACGGCGAGGTCGGAGGCTGATCGGAGAGCCACCGCCTGTCCCTTTTCCGGCCCGGCTGTGTTCGCGAACGTGATTCCTCGTGCTACGAAGCGGGCGCCATCAATCCCTGCAAAGTGCAAAATGTTTAGCTTCATTATTCCTACTATACTTTCAAGTCATCGTAATCATAGTTGGCATTATATGTAGAGTATCTTGTTTATTCGGCTGCGGATCCAGAACACAGAAGAGTATTGGGTCGCATTTCATTAGAAAATTAGAACCGTAAAAAAAAAAAAAAACATAATGATTATAGTTTTTTGCAATTTAAATTGTACCCGATGGTATTTTAATTTAGAGAATACATCACTAATGGAGTGTACAGAGCAATCGGCGAGAAATTCATCGCTCATTTTGTTGAGCAAATCAGTTCTCGCATATTTCATTGTTGAAAAGGTTCTCTTCGTAGTAGTTGTTGAAACGAGCAACATCAACACTAGAAAAATCAATCGACTAATTAATTTGCATTGTGTGTCCATCCATGCATCCACCAGCTGCTCTAGTAAATTTTCAAGGGAACAAACCTCATATTTCTCTTAGTCTTTTTCGTTTTGAACTTTTAGAATTTTAGGTTTCATTGTTTTTTTTAGACGCATAATCTTTGGGACTGAAATTTCTAGGCTAAATTTAGAGTAGTGATTTGAATATGTTCATCTGAATCATTTTTCTATTTATATATACTCAATCTTATTATAAAATAGCACTGGGCCGAATGCCTAAAATCGAAAAATTCATAAGGACTATACTAACTACGGATCAGAGGAGGGTTGGGTCGGGGCCTGGGGTGGCTACCCCCTGGATCCGCCACTCTGTTTATTACGTAATGCATAGTTGGTATTATGTAGAGTATATTTGGTAGTCTGGAGAGACAATTAGGGTCAGTATTGGTGGGTCGGACGGATTTTGACCATAAAACACACCCATCCACGGCTAAACGGATTGATAATTTTTAACCCACCAGCCACCACTCACCCATATTTAATCTCGGGTTGGGTCAGGCGGATGATGATGATGCGGGTGGGGACCAGGAAATTGGATCTAGCCGCAAGAAGAATGTTTGACTGATAAATAACTAACTTCTTGGTCTTCGACCCCTTCAGTCACTCTCAAAATATATTAAAAACAAATATTAATTTTGTAGGGTAATGACTGGTATACTCCAGGAGTATACCATTAGAGGTGGCAATTAGGATCCAAATCCATGAATCCAATCCAATCCACCCATCAAATTATCTACCTAATCCAATCCATTTAAATCCAATCCATTTGATCCAAATCCAATTGGATTGGTGGATTCATGGATCAATCCATGGATCCAAATGACAAGTTATGATTTGGTACCTATATTTTTTATATTTTACATTTTAGTACCTAAAATTTATATTTTTATACGAAAAATATCATTAGAAAATTACATTTTGGTACCTAAAATTTTTCAGTATGACATTTTAGTACCAAAACTTTTCAAATTTTACATTTTGGTCCAAGCCTTTGATGTCATTTGGATTCATGGATTAATCCACCAATCCATTTGATCCAATCCATGAATCCACCAATCCATTTGGTCCATGGATCCACCAATCCAATCCACGAGTCCACGAATCCGATCCAATTGCCAGCTCTATATACCATACTCCATGTGATATGACCGTTAGATCTCCTTTTCTGAGCTATGACCCATCTCAACAGTCAATTAATATTTTTTATAAAATTGAACTTCGGGTTTGAGTTTAGAGAATCGAGACCTGGGGTTTATTCATTAGAGGTTACTATATAGTATCATACCCCAAACTCGATTTAATTCATAGTCTAGATAAAAATATCTCATTAGAAGTACCTGGAGTATAGTATACTCCAAAAGTACCCTAGTCTAACCCTATTTTGTAGATTGTAATAAACCTACTTTATCTCCAAATTTTCAAAATTCAAGTTACAATATAAACATAAAAAAGATACAAATCAATTAAAAATAAAAAAAGATTATTGTCATCCTCATATTGGATTATACACAAATTTATAACCATGAATTATGCACCTACTAGACAATTGAGAAAAGACTAACAAACGACACACAATGAAATAGTTTCTGATCAGTGACAAAAAATGAAATACTCAATGTTACAGGAAGTATAAAAAATCCATCCTTGAGAATATAATTTTGTTCAATGAAAGAACATAACACATTACTAAATTTTACTTTTTTGTTTTTGTCATTTGGTGGGAAAATTATATAAATTTCATTTTAATATGCCACACCTTGTTTGGAACTTGACATGTAATTCCGTACCAGCGACAAGAGTTAAGATATATAAAAACTGATCATAGCAAGAATCTTCATAAAAATATTGATTAATTAAATAATTACCAGCAGTGGCGGAACTGAAAGTAGTATAGGACCCACTCCCGACGTTCCGGTCGCCGGTGATAACCGTGTCCGCCATCCCGTCGCCGACGAGCCAAACGTTATGGTTACCGTCAAGAATCTCAATATTCTCCACGTAAACACCCCTTTTCACCCGTATCACAAACCTCTCCCCGGACTCGTTCCTCTTCGCCGCGAAATCGATCGCCGCCTGAACCGTCGCGAACCCACCGGACCCGTCCTTCGCCACCACGGCATCCGCTCTAATATCCACCGACGCGATGGAACCTTCCAGAAGCTTCCTCTCCCCTCTCTTCATCCAACGGTTGGGGACGAACTCGTCATCCGCGCTGGCGTTTTCCTTCTCTTCGGCAGTCAGCAGCGCGCCGTTGACCGCCAGCGTGTTGGTGATCAGCTCCGACAGGTGGTTGCTCGACTCGACCACGGGCGCGACGAAACCGGGTATCTTCAGGTCGGTCGAACCGGCCCGGCAGGTTTCCACGTTGGTCAGCGCGCTGCTCAGCCACGTCTGCGCGTCGAAGTCCGTGCACCGGGCCGGGCCACGCAGGCAGCTGAGCGTGCTGTTGAGGTGGCGGACGGTGCTGGCGTGGAGCTTCGTGCAGTCGCCCCACACGGTTGTTTCTCGTGGGGTTCGGCATTTGGACTTCAAGCTGATGAGTTGGCTTTGGACGTCGAGGGCCTTTCTGAGGGCGGCCTCGATGTTCATCTCACGGAAGGCGGCCCGCTGGTTGGGCCGGGAGTTCGGGTGGGCGGTTCGGGTCACGAACCGGGCGCAGGTGTCCGGGTTCGGGGTTTCCTTGCACCACGAGGAGAGTTGTTCGTCGGACGATGATGAGGAAGCTGTTGGGGTGAGAAGTGAGAGAATGATACATAGGAGAAGGCTAATTAGTAATGTGGTAATAGACATGGCTAGAGAGAGGGGATTGATTAGTGGACTAATGACAGGATTAACAGAATTAATGAGAGATCATCAGGTGGATGTCCAATGTTTATATTTATAAACATAATTTTTTTGTTTCTTTTTAGAAGGATTATTTTTTATTTGGGGCATGAAGATGGGCGGAGGTTTGTTGGTTTGTGGGAGGCGGATTAAGGAAAGGTTCGAAGGAGTGGATCGTGTTGTACAGTTGGGAGGGGGCGGACGCGGCCACTTAGGGAAATAAAATGGAGAGATATTGATTATTAGAATATTAACTAACATTATTGTTATTATATTATTATGGAAATTAAATAAGGAAAATATGGATTATGTCTTGTGTTGTTTTTTTTCAGCTTTTTAGATTGTAAGTAATATATTCCTGTGCACAAAGGTTGAAAAATAAGAATAATACCCAAAAGGAATATGCTTTGTCATTTTAAGGGGAATATTTGATCATTATAAAGGTATTTTAGTTTAGTGGTGTAGTCAGAAATATAAATGAAAGATGGCAGATTTGAATTGCCGTAATCCTAACTTCAACCTAGTTTCATCATTGCCTTAGTTCGTTACAATATGAACATGAAATCAATAAAATTACTGAAAACTAATGACTCAACTTGGTCAGATTTATACTTTCCAAATTAAGAGAAATAAAGGATAAATGTCTTAGTAGTTGAGCAGGAACCGGTTGTGATATATCAATATATCATCAATAAGTTTACACAAGAATTTGTCATATCCATTCGGGAACATATATATGTGAAGTCCATATAAGAGATATGAGAAAGATCCAAAAACAAAATTACTTGTAATTAGGGGTGTTCAAATTAGGAATGGCAATGGGCAGGTCCGGGGCGGGTTTCTTGGTACCCAGATCCGCCCCGTGGCAGGGCGGGTCCAGGTCGGGTTGTTAGTGTTGTGGTATATGATCCACGATTGAACCTCTCCCAACAACTCGAGTTATTGGGAGTAACTGGTTCTTGACATGGTATCAGAGCCTTCTGTGACCGAGAGGTCTTGTGTTCGATTCCCGATGACCCCCATTTGTTAAGCACATGGTATTCTTGTCTTCAGACCTGTGCAAACTTCAAGCCCTTGTGAGTGACTTTCGTTTGAGGGGGCGTGTTAGTGTTGTGGTATATGATCCACGATTGAACCTCTCCCAACAACTCGAGTTATTGGGAGTAACTGGTTCTTGACACGGGTAATTGATCACGGGTACAGGTCGGGGCAGGTCGACCCAATGGGTATGCAATTTATATGAAAAACATTAGAAATATTCGTTATTTTTATTATAAGACTAAGAAAACAAACAATATTATGACAATTGTAGTTAAATTATTGGAGAAATTGAGGGTTTCATTAATTTACAACTTTATTATAGCTAAAATATGATGCAATAAAAGGAAAATTCAAAGTAATTTGACTAAGATTACATGTAATTTAGACAAGAACGGGTCGAGAATGGGGCGGGTCAGAGCAGGTCGGGGTGATGAGACTACCCATGCCCGCCCCGCCCCGCCTACGGGGCGGGTCGGACCCGCCCCAAAACAGGTCAAACAGGTCGTGTAAAACGGATCAAGTCGAAATTGTCATCCCTAGTTCAAATGGTTACCATGGTTATTACCAAATCAAATAAGGCTAAATTTCATTAACCATGAAATACAATATCATAATCAAACCGTCCAAACTAATACAGCAACCAAATTAACCAAACTAAGGTTTAATCGGTTTGGTTATTTGATTAACCAGATTAACCAATATAAAATCATATTATCATTAAGTGGGAAAATTTTTGGTTAATATATCAATTCACAATTTATATAATGAATAAAATATAACAATCAACACATAGTTATAGTTGACCCTTAACATAAATACATGCAACTAAGACAATTATCTTACTGTTAGTATAGAAGTATTCACCTAACCAAAATTTATCACAATGGTATGGGTTAATGAATTGTTGTGTTTGTTTGAATTGATTTAGTCTTTTAGCAATTTTCATAGGCTGAAAAGGACCTTGCTTTCAAGTTTTCATCCAACATAATGTATGTGATTTATCTAAATTAGGCGTTCATATGTTGTGGTCTACACTCTACATATTCAAATATACATTATAGGAACAATATCAAGCTTTATATTTTATGAGTCTAAATCTCTTTAATGGTTATTCAAAGTATTAAGTATGTGTATATATTAGATATATGGCTAAATATTTATCTGGTTAATTTGATTTGGCTGGTTAGGAGTGTCTGAAACCAAACCAAACCACCTAAACCAAACAAGCTAAATTTTTTAACCAAACCAAACCAATTATCCAAATTAACCAAACCAAATTATCCAAATAATACTGGTTAAAATGGTTACCATGGTAACCACACCATTTGAACACCCCTAAAATCTACCAACACCAGTGTGGTAGAAAATTCTGGTAGAAAGAAGTTCCTTTTCTATTCAAAGATGGACGAAGTGAAGAACAGAAGTACGAGATGTGAGGGATTAGACAAAGGGGGAGATTGGGAAACGGATAGGCTTGTCCACTAACATATTATAAGTTAGAACAAGAACCACTCTTTAATGTGAACCCCCCCCCCCCCCCCCCCCCCCCCCCCCCTCCCAGAAAAATAAGCACTTTGACGATGACAAGTGAAGAACTCGTCTTCTTGGTATGGTCATTGTCGTTAACGTTCCAATCCATTATTCGTATTCAATGGAATTACTGAAAATTTGGTGACAAACCAACGTAATTTTTAGACTTTTTAGGGTTATAAGAACTTATTGCTTCATTTCATTGAGATGTTGAAAGAATTACTATAACATAAATGTAATTCACTGGAAATAATCTTGTTAGATCATCAAAAGTTAACAATAGGAATACCTGGATTAGTGTCGGTTGATCGTCTAGATCTTGATGCGGAAAATATAGGACGATCTGCAACCGGATGATACCTCGAGAGCACAATCTGAGAGGTTTTGTGACCTTTCTCAACCAAGCCTCCTTAGTTCCTACATGGGAGTCCTGTGATCTTTCTTATTGGGAGAAGAAAAGAGTTGTGTTAGTCTTGTTGTGTTGGTGACCACAAACTCAACCTCCTTTGTATACTAGACTTTTTTTTTATAATGGCGATCGATGAAATAACATTAAAGGAAAAGGGAACCAAAGTGTTCGATACAAAAGGATCAAGAGGCATGATCCAACAATAAAAGTGAAAACAACTGCTAAGTGGACCAGGCCAATCCTGCAGAAAAAAACGAAGGGAAACAGAGAGACAAGGCATCAAAACACAAAAGCCAGAGAAAATTAAGTGGTTGCAGTAACAGGATGGTCAGTGACCGCAGTCGCATGAGAGTCACTGCGATTTCGGAGAGGGCATATATTATGCATCAAAGACAGCCATTCGGTGCTTTGCAGGTTACTCAGGGTGTCAGTCACTCTCACCCAGCTCAGAATAGTCATGCAAATCTTATGGAAAATCACCTGCCAAACACATAATTTATCATGGAATGTACATAAATTGATGGTCCACATAAGTTAGGAAATGAATTTCCTAACATATGCTTCTTCATAGTCGTCAATGAACCTTAGAGATATTTTTTTTTATTTCTCTGCAGCTAAAATTCATGAAAAATGAGGTTGTTGACTAACGACAAACTGACTGAACAATTTCAAATATAATCAAGTTACCATCTAATTTACAAAATAAGAATAAATTATTATCGTGATCAATTGTTGAGTCGAATTTGTATAAATATTAATATTTAGTCTTTTCTCTTTCCTCCAACAATGTGAACAAATTTCTTTGTCAAAACTTGACACATTTTTATCTTTTAACTGAATTTATCCCTTTTTATTGCCTTTCACAAAGAAAAATGTACTTCACTTGCCAATTCTTTTCTCCGGTGTCTCTACATCGGTGACATTTCCTTTGAGGTGAAAACTCAATTTGTTTTGTAGTGTCAAAATTTTGTACCTGTGAAATGCATATCATCATTCACAAAGAAAAAGTTCGCCAATTGTTGTTATCTGACACGTCTATATGAAAATTTCTTTCATATGAAAACTTGGGGTGCGTTTGGATACAATGATTTGGATTTGTGATTTGTGATTTGGATTTCCAAATACTAAATCATGTGTTTGGATATTAATTACATTTGGTATTTGGATTTGTGTCAAATTCATGGGATGATTTCCAAATACATCTCTAGTGTATTTTTTGTCAACTTCAAATACATTTCAACAACTAGTGATTTGAAATACCTCCTAACAAAATAATGGACCTATTTGTAAAATATGAAAAGTTTAGGTACTATAGTGCGAGGCAAAACATATTAAGGTACCAAAATGTAATTTTACCATCAAAATTTCAGGACCTTTTTGTAAAATTTTAAAATTTTAGGTACTAAATTGTAAAATAAATAAATTTGGGTACCAAACTGTAATTTACCAAAATTTGTAGTAAGTGACCAGAAATTTAAAAATTGAAATTCAAAATCATAAAATACAAAATACAAACAAATTACAAATGAGTATCCAAACAATGAATTTGAATTACATGTATTTCAAATGCTAATATTTCAAATACATCCATTTCAAATGCTAGTATTCCAAATACCTTACATTTAAAATACACTTATCCAAACGCACCCTTATTTTTATTGGTCGTCCATGTATCATGTATGTATGTTGGATGGAAGAATCATGTATATTGATGTATGACATACTTCACCAAATTTCACATACATTTTATGTATATATTTTTAGTGAAACAACGAATTAACTAAGTAACTATAAACAATTAAATTATGGACAATGTTTTACAAACCACAATTAGCTATAAGCCTATAGCCATTCAATTGGATCATGTTGAAAGGTTATTATTGTGTTTGATTTGACATGTCTTGTGGAAGAACTCGATAATATGATATTTTCATATTGAATAAGAACAATTGTTTTAGAATACTTAAATAAAATTTCATATTTATTT